GACTCCCCGCGAGCACCCTGCAGTCCTCATGTCCCGATGGAGCTTGTGGGGCCTGTAGCCATGGACACACCGGGGCAGTCAAGAACTGGGCCAGTCCTGGCCAGGCTGTGCTGTGGAGTGGCCCAGACCTCACACCCCCTGGAAGCTCCTCCTGGCTTCCTCCCCTGTGACAGGAGGGGTTGGTGGACACAGACTCAGGGGCCTTCTAGCCCCATAGTGCTGCAAACTGAAGAATCAAATGCTTGGGAAGGATTTTCTATAACCCTGTGTCTGACCTTTAGCTTCGTTTTCCTTAGCCTATTTATTGATCTAATTTCCCTCAACTGACCCACCCCAATCCTCACAGCTTGTTCTCCTTTCTTGGTGCAGTACCAACTATACCCCAACCCTTAGGCCAGCTACATTTCTGGCCCTTCATTCCTGTCTTTCTCTTCCCCTCCCAGTGCCCCTCATGAATTTAACATCATGCATTTCCACTCGCTGTTCCCAATGCCTGTGAGCCTGCCTCCTGTCCCTCACTAGTAATACATCTTCATGCAGCACATAATAAATATTTATTGAATTCCTGATATATGCAGACACTATTTTCAAGTTCTGTACTCTAAATGTATTAAAAGTAGAGGGGTTTTTTTTGTTCTTGTTGTTCTTCTGGTACAGGGAAACAGAAAACACCAAATAAATAAGAATCAGAATACTTCATAGTGGGGCTGGCAAGATAATTCAGTGAACTAAAGCACATGCCTAGGTAAGCTTAGGCAAGCACAGGGACCGCAGTTCAATCCCAGGCACCATATGCTGCATCAGCCCCAGAGTCTGGGCGTGGTGGCCCATGCCTGTAATCCAAGTGCTGGGGAGGCTGAAAGCAGGAGGATCACTACGAGTCTGAGCTGCATAGTGACACCCTGTAACAACCAAATACAGGAGGAGGAGGAGGAGGAGGAGGAAGAAGAAGAAGAAGAAGAAGAAGAAGAAGAAGAAGAAGAAGAAGAAGAAGAAGAAGAAGAAGACCACCTCATAGTGCAGTTGTGGTGGTGAATGCTCAGAAGGGTAGGATGGGAAAGGCCTTGGAGGGACAGAGGGAAAAGGGTTGTAACAGCCAGGATGGACACTACAGCTCCTGCAGTTCAGGGGTTCAGGGAGGGCCTCTCTCGAGGGCCAGGTGCCCTGAGACCTGAGTGATGGTGGTCAGCTTGTCTCAAGGCAAGGAAAGTGTCCTGAGGAGAGGCCATTGAAGCCACCACAGGCCTTTCAAAAGGGCCCCTGAGGACCAAAATACCTTGGGCCCACCCCACCCTTCTCACTTATTCCCTTCCCTTGTCTGGTAATGGTCTCCTCCTCTCTTCTTATCTCCCTTAGATTCCAAATATTAACAAAAAGTGAGGCTTCTTTTCTCTTTGTGAGTCTGGTTTACTCTGTCCATTGTAATTGTCTGCAGACCCATCCATGTTCCTCAAGTAACAGGAGCATTTCATTCTTACAGCAGAATGATACCCATTTCATGCGTGCACAGTGTGGCAGCCATCCTCCACCCATGGGCGCGCACTTGCACTGCTTTCGTGCCTTGGCTAGGATGTAACTGTGGCCCAGTACACACGGGTTTGCAGTTGTCACTAGCAAATGCTGTCCTTAATAATTTGAGTGTGCAACAAAAGTGGTCTAGCTGCACCAGATGGTCACGCTAGGCTTAGTTTTCTAAGGAAGCCTCATGCTGATTTCCACAGTGGTTGATCTCTACATTCTCACCAGAACTGTACAAGGGTATCTTTTACCCCAGTTCCTCTCTGGAACTTACTGGTTTTCATATTCTTGATGGCAACCTTCTGCCTGGGGTGAGAAGGAAGCTCAGTGTCAGTTTCATTTGTGTTTCCCTAGTGAGTAATGATGTTGAATGTTTTCTTCCGTATTCAGTTTCCCCTTCTTTTCATCTTCTAAATCTTTAATTTCTTGTCTTTTTAGGGTTTAAAATTTTTTTGTAGAAATCTTTCACTTCATTGGTTAGCGTGATCCCTAAACATATTTTTACGTTACTGTAAATGGAATTGTTTTCCCTATTTATTTCTCTGAAAGCCCATTATTGCTGCATAGTGAAGCTATTTTTATCTCAATGTTGATTTTACATATGGTTACATTACAGAGTTCATGACAGCTTTAAAAGCCTTCTAGAAGAGATGCTGGGATATTCTAAAGATAGTATTAAGTCATCTTCAAACAAGGATAATTTAAGGTCTTATTATATTTCAATTTTCCCTTGTCTAATTGCTCTAGCAGAAAGTTCAAGAACTGTGTGATGAAACCATGATGAAAGTGGACCCACCTGCCTTGCTCCTAAATTTAGAAAAATGCTCTCAGCTTTTCCTCATTGAGAAGAATGTTGGCTATGGATTTATCATATGTGGCCTCTACTGTACTAAGGAATGATCCCACAATACCCAATATTGAATTCTGTTGTGATTGTGTGATTTTTATCCTGAATTTTATTTTTGAAGCATATCATTGCTATTGATTTGCACTTGATGAGCCATCCTTGAATTCCTAGAAAACAATGAACTTGGCAATGGTGTATGAGCCTCTCAATATATTGTTAATTTGGTTTGTGAATATTTTATTGGGTATTTTTGCACCTATCCTTTTCCAGGGTGCTTGTCTACAGTGTTTGCAGTTGCTATTTTGTGCTTATCCAACTTTGCTATAAGGGTGAAGTGGCCCTGCACAGTGCATTTGGAATCTTTTATTTCATGGAATAGTTTCAGGAACACAGATGTTAGTTTTCATCAAAGGACTTGTAGAATTCACCTGTTAATCTCTCTGGTCCTGAGCTTTTCTTTGTTGAGAGACATTTAACTATTTTTTTAGTCTCATTACCTTCTATTGGTATGTTTAAGTTTTTATTGCTTCTTGGTTGAGTTTTATCAGATCATCTTTGTTTAGAAATTTAGCAATTTCTTTTAGATTATCTAATTTATTAGAATTTTTTTTGTAGTACCAGGGATTGAACTCAGGACCTTGCACTTGCCAGGCAAGCACTTATTCTACTGAGCTATCTCCCCGGCCCCAAAAGGAAAGCTTTTTTTTTTGGTATGGGGGATTGAACTCAGAACCTTGAATTTGCCAGACAGGCACTTATGCCACTGAGCTATCTCCCCGTGCAATGTATTTAGTAAGAATTTTTGAGTATTCCCTGAAAACACTCTCAACTTCATGGGTGCCTGTTCTCAACTTTAATTATACTCATTTGGATCTTCCTTCTCCTTCTTTGTTGGGTGTGACTAGAGGTCTTTAAATCTTATTTTAAAAGAAACAGCTCTTTCTTTCATTAATCTTGTATGCTCTTCTTCTACTCTTCATCTCATTAACTACAGTTCTGATCTTTATTACTTCTCTCCTCCCCTTGAATTTGGTATAGATTTGATCTCATTTTTCTAAGACCTTGAAACACATCATAAGAGTATGCATTTTTCCATTTCCCTGATTTTTTGATATAGAACTTTATAACTATAATCTTCTCTCTGAGAACTGCCTTTGCCATATGTCAGAAATTCTAGTGTGTGGTTCTTCTGTTTTTCATCTGATTTTAGAAATGTTTAAATTTCCTGTACACTATTTCAAACATCTACTGAACAAGCAAAAGTGAATTTTTAAGTCTCCATCTGTTTTTGGCAATGGTGCCACTTTGGGTGGGAGTCCTGAGAGTGGGCCCAGCTCCACCCTCCTCTGTCTGCTCTCTGGTACCATGGTGTCATCAGCCCTCCTCTGCCACCCCCTACCCTCCACAGTCTACCTAAGAACCAAGCTACCAGGGCCAGGGAGATGGCTCAGTAGAATAAGCACTTGCCTGGCAAGTGCAAGGGCCTGAGTTCAACCCCCAGTTCCGCCAAAAAAAAAAAGGAACCAAGCTATCCTGGACTGAATCCTGTGAAAACCATGAACCAAATAGACCTCCACACCATGACACTGTGGATCCTAGGTGTTTGCCCCACTAACTGGAAAGCGACTACCACACTGGAGTAGCCTAGTCTTAGATCACAAACCCTTCTGAAAGTAGTTATTGTTTATATCCCTCTTCAATGTGGAGGATGCTGGAAATCCCTTCTCCCGAGGGAGCCCACTGTGCAGGAGTCACCTTCACAGTAGAACCTCACTGAGTACTTGCAGATTGTAACTGTGGGTTTCTCTGGGGAAATGCCCCTGCTGCTCTTTCATACACTCTCCAGTCTTACTTTGCACTTCAGGACCTCTCTCTCTGGGAGCCAGGTTCAGTGCTCCAGCCTGCTTCATTCTTCTGTCTCCACTGTCTTCTCTTTCTCCATGAATTTTAGCATCACCTGTCAGTAATCTCTAGAGCTGTCTCCTGGCTAAGTAGTTGGCTCTCAGTTGTCTCAGTTCCTGACCCCAAGGACGCTGGACATGCTGCCAGCGTCTCCTCTGCCGTCTTTGCTACAGTGTGTGCTCAACCGATGACGCCATGTGAGGCACTTCAATCATCGTGAACGTCCTTGAAGTCAAAGATTTGAATCGTTGTTGAGATCCAATGAGATTTCTTTATGATGTCTGCAAAAAACAAAAAAAAAAAAAAAAGGAACAAGGAACCCAGAAGCACAATAAAATTTTAATGTTAGGCTAAAAATGAGAATCCAGGTAAGAAGTGAAATGAAATGAAGCAAGTCTGTGGGTTTTTGTTGAGTTTGTTGTTGTTATTGCTGCTGTTCTTGAAGATCTAGGAGTGACCGTGTTTGTTTCCTCACCCACAGCTGCCACACACAACGTCTTTGTCACATTTCCCAAAGCATAAATACCTATGCATCAAGCTATTTATTTCCAAGTGACAGGTGCATAGTCTCGTACTTGCCATTTTGCATCACTTTATGCTCATTGACTTCTGTACTTGTTTCCTAGGAGCGGAGTTACCCAGTGGAAAGGCTAGAAGCATTTTAACCGTCTTTGGTGCTCGTAGGTGAACAATGTTTCATGACGTAGGCTTTTTCTAAAGATTCATTTGAACGTCAGCTGAGAGCATCCCTAACTGCATGGAGATGCACAGAGGCTGCCACCAAACCCCAGTCCGCGGGGTGGCGGCCTCCCCGGCTGTGGGTGACACAGCTCCTGCTGAGCACTTTCCCTATGGCCCCTTTCATCTCACCGTTCCTCAGAGTGTAGATGAGGGGGTTGAGCAGGGGGGTTCCCAGAGTGTACAGGAGGGAGACGAGCTGATCTCGCCCGGCGTGGTAGCTGCGGCTGGGGCGCAGGTACATGAAGGCGCAGCAGCCGTACTGCAGCAGCACCACGCTGAGGTGCGCGGAGCAGGTGGAGAAGGCCCTGCCGCGCCCGGCTGCTGACGGAACCCTGAGCACCACAGCCACTATGCGCGCGTAGGAGGCAGTGATGAGGCAGAAAGGCGCAGCGATGGCCAGCGTGGCGGCCACCAGCACCGACTGCTCGTGGAAGGGGGCGCTGGCACACACAAGCTGCATGAGCGGGGGCACATCACAAAAGAAGTGCTCGATGCCCCGGGCGTGGCAGAAGGGCAGAGAGAAGATGAAAGCCACCAGCTGTAAAGACAGGGAAAAGCCCAGGACGCCAGAGGCCACCACCAGGCGGACACAGAGGGTCAACGTCATGACGACAGGGTACTGCAGGGGGTGGCAGATGGCCACATAGCGGTCATAGGCCATGGCCGCCAAGAGCAAGCAGTCAGCGCCGCCGAGCCCAATGAAGAACGTCATCTGAGCGGCGCAGCCCAGGAGGCTGATGCTCTTGTGGGAGCGCAGGGTGTTGGCCAGGATGTGGGGCACCACCGCCGCCGTGTAGCAGATCTCGACCCCGGACAGGCTGCCCAGGAAGCAGTACATGGGCGTGTGCAGGCGGGGTTCAGCCCGCACGGACACCAGGATGAGGACATTCCCGGTGAGGATCAGCACGTAGGCCAGGCCCACGCCAAGGAAGGACAGGATGCGCAGCTCTGGGCGGGAGGGGTAGGCCAGGAAGACGAATCCCGTCGGCTCCGACTGGTTTCCCCAGCTCATGGAGCCGGCAGCGGTACCTTGAACGACTTCTAGGAGAGAAGGAAGACTCGGGCTGGCGTGCCACCGCCTGGGGGAGGCTGTAGATTCCCCACAACTGGGTGCAGTAACTGACAAGTCAACTTAAAGGAAGCGAGGTGCCGAGACATTCGGGACGCGCCTGGCGGAAGGGCACAGTGAAGCGAAGCTGCTTTGTCCGTGGCAACCAGGAAAGAGCAGAACAGTGCCGGAGAGGAAGAGGCGAGGGCCACGCTTCAGCGCCCTCCCAGCTGCTGCGCCACCAGCCCGCGGGGCAGGTCCTGAGGCCATCAAGTCCACGTGATGAAACTTAACTGACACACATTACGGGTCCCCCTTGCACTTGAGGTGGCTCGGGAGGAGACGGGTTCAATGCATGCCCTTCACAAATCCAGATTTACTAATGAGGGCTGGAGGTAGAGACCAGAAACATCACAAGCAGCTCCTTCTTTCTTTTCTTTCTTTTTCTCCTATTCTTTTTCTTTCCTTTTTCTCCCTTCCTTCCTTCCTTTTCTGCCTTTTTTTTTTCCCTCCTTTGGCCCACTTCTATAAAATCTTTTCACATAAATGTCTACAACCCAATTTCTAGTTGCCAAGAGTTGATCCAAATTATTCTGGAGACTAAGACAAAAATGAGAGAAGTAGGTGGAATTTGGGAACTATTTTCAGATATGAGTAAAATGAAAATTACATTTTGTCAGTAAACCCACAAGCAAGCGTCAACGAATTCCTGGGGCTAGGAGCCATTCAAGTGAGGGCAGGAGGCCAGTGACCCTCCTTCACTCATAGATTTATATATTTCATTTATGAATTACTGTCTCGTGAGGTATTGAGTCAGTGATACATGGATAAAAATACTCAGAAATGCACAATGTGATAGGCAAAGGAGAGCAAGCGAACGAGCAAGTTAGAGAGAGAGAGAGAGAGAGAGAGAGAGAGAGAGAGAGAGAGATCTGTACATAGGCCCGAGCCTGATGATGGTGGCAGAGCCACGGGAAAATGCTTCCTATTCTTGGTTGCTGTCACTTTATCCACCTGAGAGAAGGAGAAGGCTTGAAGAACACAGGGTGTTTAATCATAGGCTTTCTCCTGCTTGATGAATGTACGGGACAACATGATCAAAACCTGCTAGAGATCCCAGAACTCTTCCTCTGAGTTTGGACATGAACATGCACGACCAGACCAGCCCCCTCTTCTTTACTTCACTCTGTCCTTCGAAGGATCTAATATATTAAATACAGGAAAAGCCACACAGACTCCCTGAAAACTTTTCCATGAGCAGACACAAGTCTCAAAGGACATCCATCAATCTTTCTTTCCCCAACAAACTCATATTTAAGAAAATGGGAATTGGGACACAACATTGTTTCTGCCCACCAAATTTAAATATTTCCTATAGGGCTGGGGAGATAGCTCAGTGGCTTATGTGCCTGCCTAGCAAGCACAAGGTCCTAAGTTCAATCCCTGGTACTAAACAAACAAATAAATATTTCCTGCTACTCCATACAATATTTGAAGGAAAAATTCTACCCAGAATCATCACTTCAAGTAAAAATCATTCACATAAACCCACTGTCTCAGTTACTTTTATTTTTTCTGTTATTTTAGGGAAAAGTCTACAGGGTGTTCAGGGTCTCACTACTAGATTGGGCTTGTAGTGTTCTGTCTGTTTGCAGCTTCCCAAGAGCTGGGATTACAGGTGCATGCCACCACGCCCAGTCTCAATTGCCATCTCAGGGTACCCCAGGGCAGGCTTAGGGCTCAAACCCCCAGCGCCTGAGCCTGCTTTCAGGTGCTTTAATCTGCTGAGCTATTTGACCAGCCCTTCAATTACTTTTCTTTCATTGCTGAGACAAATGCCCAACATCCACAGTTAAAAGATAAAAGGTTTATTTTTTTTAATTTTTAAAGAGTACAAAGTAGTATTAAGACAGAAAAATTACAATGATACAGAATTTCACTTAACAAAATAACATGAATTTCACAGTATTTGTTGTAATGCATAGTGTTGTCTCCCAACTAGTTCCTATTACTAGATATATGCATGCAGAATTGGAAGAAGAAAAGAAGAAAGAGATATAAGAAATTCAGAAGAGCAAAAGGACAAATAATTGAAAAAAAAGAAATAAAACAAATTAAGCATTATGTGCTCCTTTCCATAGACCAGCAGAAACACACAGTACAGCTGTCCAAACCATCCTGCTTGCATACATAAATAAATCTCTTTCCCCACTCTCTCTTCTGTTATTCTCAATGCAGTAATTCCTTCCTTTTGAATAGGTTCATTCCCTTTTCCCAGTAGCTACTATACCCAGAGAAAGGTCTATTTTGACTTAGTTGAAAAGGCTTCAGCCCACAATCGGCTGGCTCCAAGGCAAAGTGGCCTGGCTGAGGGGCCACCCTCAGTACACAGTGGACTGAAGGAGCGAGGCAAACAAGGGGCAGGCAAGCCTCTTTCTATCCCTTCTGCTGTGCCCAGTCTCCTGGGGTTAGGGCGGTACCCTGCCAATCGGTGGACTGATTTAGTAACCACCCACCTGTAATCCTCACCCCCTTAATCCTGGTGTTGCAACATGAATCAGTGACACACTCTAGATTCTGACACCTCTGAGAAAGCCCCACCAATGACTGCACGAGGCTGGGGGGAGACATCTCACCACAAACCAGAACACCCACCTCAATGTCACAAGCATGAGGACAAGTATGCTTAGAGGCTGTCATGAATAGTTTGAGCACTCTTGTGTCTAACAACTGATATCTATGTCATTCATTTTCTTTTCCTCTTCTGAACTTCGATAATGTTTTGGGTCATTTCAAGTGTCACTGCAGATACTATATATTTTACTATAAAATAGAGAAGCAGGAGCATATCTGTGTGGACTTTGAAATTAGACTGAAGTGTTCTGAATAATTCCATCTCTGGCTCTGTGATCCTAGGAAGTACATAATATCTCTGAATTACAGTTTCATTATTTGCAAATGGGAATACTGTCACTATCACTTCAAAGGGCTTTTGTGAATGTAAATGAGATAGTAATGTAAGACAGCCATCACAACGGCTGGCCCGTGCTGAGAGAAGCCTCATAAAAGACAACATAGTTATTTGGAAGTTCAAGGGCCACCATTCTTCCTTGTTTATAGCTTTCACTCCTCTTCCTACCTGACTTAATCTTGTGTCAACTTTAGGCACTGAGTCATTGCATATTGAATAGAAAAATATACTGTGAGAAGCTAGAGTCACTATATATATATATATATATATATATATATATATATCTGGAATTGAACTCAGCATCTCACATTTGCTAGGCAGGAGCTGTGTCACTGAGCTATATCACCGGCTGGTCACTTCTACTTCCATGCTTTGCTGTTTCACAATAAGATTAGGAGTCTTTATGGAAAACACTTTACATTTAGATTTGGACTGCACTGTGGGGAAAATCTTCCCACTTAAGAATGTAACATCTCTGTGCCTCCCACAAGTGGGCATCAGAGGCCAGCCAGGACAGCCTGCGTCGTGACGTGGGGCTTCCTGCTCCCCAGCACATGCCTTCCGAGAATTTCCTTGAAGCCCTTTGCATGCATGCCTCAGTGGTGTTCCCTGGTGTCTGTGATGGAATATTTATGTGGGAGCTAACACAGATCAAGAAGTCTTGGTGCTGCAGGGGACTTCAGCAATTGCCTGGCTAGGTCCCCTCCTGAGGACCGTAGTCACCAAGATGCTGCTCCATCATCAGGACACACCCGGTGCCCAGGACTGGCTGGCTCCAGGAGGGAGACCCAGTTCCCTGAGGGTTCTCTTTTGTTATCCAAGCAATGCTGCCTCTGCGAAACTGGTGTGTTCATTCTGTCCTAAGAAACATGACCATCTCTATACAAAACCCTGGATTGACTGAAGAAACCTGGCCTGCCGTCCCAGGTTACTTTTTCTGCAGTGTCCTTTTACTATTTGTCACATGGCATAGTTTTGATGTGTGTCATACTTAAAGATCTGGACGGGCTCTCATTTTAAGTATTGTCCCTTAAAATGAGCTGCCTTAGATAAGGAACAGGAATTTTAAAAAAACATCAAACTGATGAACGGTGGTATTCATGGTTCCAAGACAGTGAAAATTAGATCCATGTGTCATCAAATTGCCTTTCCAAGTTGTCACTGAATCTGATCCACAAGACAGAAGTAGCACATGAGCTCTTCAGCAGCATCCCAGAACTCACCCCAGGTCTCAAGGAATCCACATCAAATCTTCTGTCTACTTTTGCCTTCATTCTTACTACCTCAGGGAGCCTAGCTCCACTTGTCAAGAACGGCATGAGAAAGATTATGGACATTCAGGAACTCCAGGCAGTATGGCCAGGAACAGCAGTGTAACTGTCTAGTGACAACCATGTGTAAGTGGAAGATAGCAGACTTGGCCTTACCAGAGGCAAGGTCTACGACTGACAGCATAATCTTCTGGGGAGATCATCTCACATTCATTTGTTTCCTTGTGCTCAAAAAACATAAATTCTAGCACTTACCTAACATAGCTGTGACAAAACTAAGTGTAACAGAGTATTTAGAACCCCTAGTCTGATGTACAAAGCCTATTAAGTTGCATAATACTTTTATGATACTAGTGGTTTGTTCCTCTCATCTTTGTGTCTATTATGTTCATGCTGTTCATACCAGAAGGTTACCTGAGTGCAGGTGTTTTATTTAGGCCTGAAAATTTATCTACATCTAATCATTTGACCTTTCATTTCTTTTTTTACCCAGTTCTACATTTGATTTTGGGTTCTTGGGGGGGTTTTTTGTATTTTTTAAAGGGGAAAAAAAAGAGCTTAGGCCCAGCATGTGAGTTACACAGCCCAGGGCCTGCTGGATCCTCATTTGACCCAGAGCACAGGCCCAGTGCAGAACCTGCAGCAGAACTCCCTGCAAAGAGGCTAGAGGCAAGACCCACCCAGCTGATTCAGGAGCAGAACATCTTGCCAGAGTGACACAG